TAGATATAAAAAATAGTTAAAGGTGTGTAAGACTGTACTTGAAATTTTAGATGTTATAGAAAGATAAAAATTGAGCATGGCAACAATCTGTGCTTTTACAAATATTGCATTCTTAATATCATTTCGAAGTGTTCGCGGCTTAGTTTTCTACGTCGTTAATGACAGGCAAAACGGCCAATCGTAGCAAGCGTTACGGCTTGTCAAAGTAGGCATTTCAAAATAATATTTTCATAATTTCAATAACATGCTAATTTTTTAAAAATTCTTTGACGTTTGTACTCCAACTGAATCCACAAATCGCATATGTCATCTCGAAACTTGTTTCGAGAACTATATCATAGGCATATCAAATGGCCCAAACAGACGTAAAAAATAGTTAAAGGTACGTAAGACTGTACCTAAAATTTTAGATGTTATAGAAAGATAAAAATTGAGCATGACAACAAACTGTGCTTTTAATTAATTATAAGAAGTCTTTCTCCAAGTAGTTTATACGCTTAAACCCAGTGAAACCAAGATGGATTGCTCCTTGAAAGCGAGCTCGAGTTGCTAACTGCTTTATCGCTAGGTCGCTTAGGTTGGCGGTAGATCATGCAGGCCGATGGATAGCATCAAGGTGGGTATAACTAATGGGAAGAAAGTACGTACTCGTAAAACCTTTGTCCATTTAATCTGAACTCTTATATATACACTTCAATTTTTGTACGGGAAAAAGTTAGTTGCTATTAATGTACAGTTGTACGAGGAGAGCATACTATGTGACTATTTGTGAAAATATATATATCTTTAAATTTAGAAGTCTTATGTGAAGTTCTGTTAACCAATGATTTTGTATATATGGAATCACATTCCATGTTATTGTAAATAGTATAAGGACGAAACTGGACGATGTTCAAGCATTTTCCTTCAACGAGGCGAATATGTAATAGAAAAGATGGCAAAATATTCAAATAGAGTAACAAAGTCACAATATATACTAATTTTCAGGATGTTGCAATGGGAGAGCACCTGCTGCAGGGTGGATTTTGTAAAAACCCCTGAAAAAGCTGCAGATACGTGAACCCGAACCGGAACCTAAAGAGGGTGAAGTAGTCTCATAAACTTCCTTCTTAACCTCTTCATTTCCCAAACTTTTCAGCATTTTCTTCTCCTTGTTCATCTTCTTGATTACATACAGTTCAGCAATGCCAATATTTGCACTTGACATGATTGGATTATGCAGCTAACAAGTACAAAAACAATAAGATTTTGATGGATAATTCAGTGGGAACTGTCCTGTATAAATAGATATGAGGGCAGGCAGTGAGGGACAGGGTCAGGTTAGTCCAACAGTGGTTGAAGGAAGTCAAAAAGTGGAGGCTGCTATTGGGATGCAACGTTGGACCATATATGTTCAATCATACTACGCCTTTTTTACATTATTTTTGACATTATTTTATGTGACGAAACATGCTTGAACAGTTTTAGATAAAAACACATTTTTCCACCTAATACTTTTTGAACTCCAATAAAATGTACACAAAAATGTGAACTCACTACGTACAATGCATTATTCATACATGTTTATCAGTATAGGGTTTGGATTGGGATTGGAGGACTTGGCTTTAGCTTTGAGCACTTTAATTGCCACTTAAAGTTAAAGTAGCACTGTCATGTCATGTCAAGTTTGTTTGTTTAATTGAGGTCACTATCCATGTCACTATGAATACGATCGAAGAGAGTTTTCATCTTTTTGTTGTCATGATACTACTGGCTAATAAGATAGACAGACTTCGGAGTATCCAATCATGCTACATGAATTGAAAGTTTGATATAATGATTGACATGATGTCAAATAGTATTTTATCGTTAGACTGTTTTAAACACAATCGATTTTCCCATCATCTTCATCACTGCATCTGAACAAATTCTTCTGGCAAAGTGGCCTTATTATTGCAGTATCATATAGTCTTAAGAAAAAAGTGAAAATATTATCCTTGAGACCTCTATAATTTATACAATCTTTGGCATGTTAACTTGAAGTAGCCCACAAGACTTACCGGCATGACAAACAAATGGTCAAGTAATTGCTCAGACGACAAGAACTAACACTAAGAGCAATTACCACGCAAATATGGTAAGAACATGACACGATTTTTCAGCGTTAATCAATACACGATATTATCCTTCCATTCATTGCGTCACTTGCAATCTAACCAAGTTAATGATTGAGTGGGTTATAATTTTGATTTAAATGATTCTGATTTGTGTGGCGGAGTCGATAGGGGTCGGGGTAGCGACCGTTTTCACAACATTTCTTTGTCCACCACTTACATGAAAATTCTAACTCCGCCACTAGTTAAGAATCGTGATTGTGAATTACCATGTATTGGTGCTTTCAACTGCAAAGGATTTGTCTTTTAGAACCCTCAAGCAACTTTGAGATAAAGCTGTTGGAGTTTATCCCCAACTCCAAGCCTCTTCAGTGCATGAAGGAGTAAAAGGCACCACATATTATTGCAAAGGAGATAGCGACTGCTTCTTTTGGATTGAATGTATAATTTATTTAGATTTGTTGGTTCAAATTCCACTTAGAGATAGATTATAATTGATTCAATCCCATTTAGAGATAAATTATAATTAATTTAGATGCCCGTGATCATGACGAGATTTCGAAAAACCATTGAATTTTATTTTTTTACAGAAAGCCGTATGCTCATAAGTAATAAAAAAGTATACTCTTTCACTGTTCTTACAAAACAAAAATGAATTAATCAATTCAAATTCACATGAATGAACCTATAGAGCTGAACACAGCAAATGGCTAATAAGCAAAATAAATATAATTTTGATACTACTCCACTGGCGACAATAAAGAAGAAGATGGGGCTGCGTTAGGATGGACTTTCTTGAATAAAGTAAAGGAGAAGCAACCACTAGCAGCAGTACTTTTGCTTTGATTATAAGCTAAAACTTTCTCCTTTGATCCTTTGTTTTCCATTCCCTCAATCTTCTCCTTGTGGAGTTTTTTCATCACATAAACTTCGGCAAGCGCTGCACTCGCCATCGACATGTCTAATTAATCAAGAATCACGAAAGAAGAATAAAAAATCTGATGATGATTGAGGAATTTGGGTTGGAATTATATGATTTGTTGGGGTGCAATGAATGGGTATATATAGGGTTTGTGAACTTGGGTGGCAAGAAATTCGTCCATAATTTCTTGGAGTCTTCGCGTCCAAAATATTGAAAATTTTTCGAAGTGGGGTAAACTTTTCTTTAAAAGAAAATCTTGATTGTCGATTTGAAGATGAATTTTAATATCTAACGGCCAAAAGAATTAGTCAAAATGTGTGTATTTTCTTGGATGTTCAATTGTTCATTCTCAATTGCAGAATAAATGAGATCAACAATGACGGCCATGACGCTGACGCCATCGCGATAAACCGTTTTCCAAATGGGCAGTCACAATGTGACGTCTTAGAACTACTTCAAATTTCTCATTGTTATAGCGGTTCCAACCAAAATTTGTGAGTACTCATATACGAGCTAAAAGTAATTCTGGATAAAGTGGAAATTCAATTGTTCGATCAGTCAAAACCATCCAAATTGAATCAATCTGACCGATTTGGGTTGGTTTTTTTTTTTTTTTTAACACGGATTTGATGGGTTGATTGTGTGGACGGGCTGGGTTGGATCGAGTTATGAGTTAACTCATAAAAATCGAATAAACCCGTCTAACTCAACTATATTTATGAGCTTTACAAGTGTTATGATATTGTTTGAAAATTTTTAGAATAATATTATAAGATAATAGTATAAGCAAATATACATTCAAGACAAAAATATTTTAATTGCCAAGAACATTTATTGGCTTCATATAATTTAATATCAATCCGTCCATGTAGTAGTTTCGGGCATGAAGTGCCAAAATAATTTAGATTTTTTTGTTCATTACAACTATGGAGACCAAATAAGTCATGGGTCAAGTATAAATTCGTCCAACTCGAGCCGTCTACTTTAATCTTTGTTGACAAATTATTTCAACCCAACCCGACCCGACCCGACCCGACCCGACCGATACTTGATTAGGGTTGGATTTGGTTGGGTTTCAACCTTTATACGAGTTGAGTTGAGTTGAGTTAAATTATGATCAAATCGATCATGTTAGATTGAGTTTGGATTGAGACAAAAACCGACCCAACCCAATCCATGCCTCGCAATTCTTTTTTTGTTTTTCATACTTCTTAGTATTCTCATTAAAACCATAGCATGCTAGATTTTGAAAAAAGTAAATAATTAATTTTATAATTATGTTATTCATAGTTAACGATTGCATTAATCACCTTATATGACAACTTATTATTTTGAGACGTTCTATAATTACTGCATCAAATATGATTTGGAAAAAGTAAAGAATTAATTTTATAACTATGTTATTCATAGTTAACGATTGCATTAATCAGCTTATATGACAACTTATTATTGTGATGCGGTCTATAATTACTGCATCAAATAACAAGATGTCAAGTAAAATAATCACCACATTTACTAACTATAAAAAATATTACTCTTAATTTTAACTACATGTTTTATGAAACTCGTACTTTTTATCATTTTTTCAACACACATTTCGCTCTTTGATAAATTTTTTTCCTACACTCATTTTGAATCACAAATTTATAATATATATAATCACTTTTCTAGAAAAGGTTAAACCAGGATATCAACTTTTCTCAAATTTTATTAAAATTTTTATCAAAAACTTTATCAAACAACTCCTAAGATTGTAAAATTGAATACAGAGTAACAATGGTATATAGATAATCGATATAATATGATGCAACCGATACCAACATCCATCCAAAGAGCCTATGAAAATACATTCTGATATTATCCTGTAAGATGAGGCAAATACATAGGTGAATATGGAGTTGGAGCAAGTTAATACAGAGTAACATTGGTATATAGTCATGTTCTTAAAATGGTAAAATTATGAACCGGAAAGCTAAAATGTACAGTCAGTGGTTCAATCCCCAATCGTAAGGCTGGTAAATCACTTTCAATTGAGTATTTGAAAGCAATTCAAGTAAAGCTTGAGACTCCACCGGCTCCAAGTAGATTGCAGCATGTCTCAGTACCTCGACCTCATTCTTGCCAAAATCTACACTGTACCTGAACGGAAAGATAAAAGTTGGGCATCTGAGAACAAAATGCACTTACAATATTAATCCACTACGAACGACAGTTTAATTGCATCCTCAAATACCTATGGGAGATAAATATTACTTCAAGAGTATATCAACAAAAGTAATTATAATGAACTTCCATAAGAAAAAAGGTAAAAACTATTAACACATTCCCGGGCAAGGACACAGCGAATGCCACCAAATAAATGGGGGCGGGGCCGACGGGAAGAAATGAAAACTTACCATCTTAGTATTTTACTAACATACGCAACGTTTGCAATTAAATCAACATATAGTCCACCAGTTCTAAGGAAATTACGAGCAGCATCGATCAATTCTTCATCAAGGTTTTGTGGTGAGTAGCATCGAAGAGCAGGCCCAGATCGGGTACCACAAACCAGTGCAAAATGAGCAAGAGGCTCTGGACAAGGAAGAGCTACCTGATGTGATTTTTTAAATGTGCGTGAGAGAAAATTGAGAGAAAATCAGATAGAACACAATCGAAGACGATAAAATTCATTTGAAATGATACACTAACTATCCAGTGCATTATCCACAGTATTTCTTGGATTTTACAAAAACATAAAATTAAATACAAAAGCATATTTATTGAGTAAACGGAAAATTGACACCATCCAAAAATTCAAAAACAGTCGGTAGTTAAGAAAAAAATTATCAGCACAACGTTGCCAGTAATATAATTGATTTCCTCACTTCATTTGATGTCTCGTCTCTAGCTATTTGCTGCCATATTGATTAAGTACATCGTAATATCAAGCTCAAAAGCTACACTCAAGCACATAATATCCTCAACTCAAATAATAATACAAGTTAAAAAACAATACGAGGTGAATTACAGTAATAGTACAAGCCACAAAAACAATGAGAGCCTAATCATTCAGAAACTAGTCATCAATATTTAAAATTCTTGCTTTCCTTGATAAGTAAATACAACATTGTGGTTAAAATAATGTATAATATTTCTTCAAGATATTGTTTGAAAATGTCTGACATCATTCTTCTGCATTTATTTTATTTTTTCTATTTAATAATAATATCTAATCGAAAATTTAGCATGAATTTCCAAATAATCTTTTGGATATAAGTTCAATTTTAACTTCAAAAGTCTTCTTGACTTAAAATAGAGTTCCAAAGTTGCTGCCTTTTTGTAAATCAGCACTTCCATAACAAATAACAATTCGAAAGCAAGTCAAGTTCAAAAGCCAATCTGTTCTGCAGCGGAACATTTTAGACCATAGAAAGAAATGATTGTGTTTATACTTAAGCAAGTGCCTAAGTTGAACAGACATATCTACATACTAATCGGAGGTTTGAATTTAGAAACAAGTGATTTTCTTTCTCCTTCCAAACTGAACTAGAGAATATGGGAATGCAATTTGAAGATGATGCAATATATTTTAGCCCATCAGACATTATTGGGAAATTAAAGACTAACCTCAAAGTTGTATCATGTGGCTCAAGGAATCAATTTCAAATGGTACTAGCAAAAGAAAATATCAGAGACAAGATAGCTGTCTGACCTTTAATCGCTTATCTTTTACACCAAATGGCTTAATGAGATTGTATGGTGGTCTTTGATTGCCCCTCAAAATGCCATTGTAAATTGCTGAAAGTGAGTACGTTAATCCACCAATTACATATTTGAAGTCTCCAAGAAGTTTTCTTCTTTCCAGTGCTCCAGAAGGTTGACCCCAGACAAGTATAGCATGAATGGCCATCATATTATAAAGATTTATGAAAAAGGCAATATTTTCCTCTCTTGGCATCTCACACAACTCTACACGCTGAAGCTCCTCAGTTATCCTCAGGTACCTGGCAATGAATTCAACAGTCAATGCCAAACCTATCCATGAGAGAATTGTAGATAGATGAATGCTTATATGGACACACGCTCATGTTCTTCAAACTAACCATCGGTTTTCTTAAGACAGACTTTTAGAAGTGTTGACAATACCTTGCAAATTCCTCACTCCCATGGATGCTTTTATAATCAACATGCTTTCCATCTTCAGATGCGTAAGCTTCTAATATTGCATAAGACAAAAACCTAAGCCTCGATGAAATTTCTACTATGGGTTTAGGTTTCACTTCGATAATGCCTCTTGGGATGTTCTGGCACTGAGAGACTAATGGGTCATCATCCAAGAACCGATACAAATGATTGCCATCTTCAAACACATTCTCACTGCAGTAATATATAAAACAAAATGTTGTGAGGAACAAAGTAAAAAAGTTATAATGGTGCAACATGTACATCACAAAAAACAAACACAGAAATATCACACAACATGAGGAAGAACATAGAGTGTAAGTACTTAAATATCAAAAGAAGTAAAGAAAATTTTTAGGGAACTTACTCAAGAACATGTTGGAAGAAGAGTTTGCTTCCAAGCTTTCGACCAAATTCAATAGCCTATTTCACAACATATTTAGAGTGAGAAAAAAAAATCAAAAACTTGAGCGACCTAATGGTAAACAACCAAAATATATGCTTCCTTTTGGCAATGTTATATACACTCTTAAACCTAATGGCCTTCATCATTTAATAGAACAATAAAGTACCTCCAGAAACAATAAAGTCTAAACCCATTTAAATGAAAATATTACGAGGAAATGTGCATAACTGAACCTTGACCCCTAAAGTTTATTATTCAATTCAAAATATTCTCCATCATTTCCAATATCTATAACATATGACAAGTTTCCAAATGCTTTATGAAATTGTAAGAACCAGTTCATGTCAAAAATTCAAAACCATGTCCAGGACTAAGAACAAGGCTTAATAGTCAGTCAATCACCTAAGTAAAACAGTGGAATACGAGGGGAAAAGGACATCAAAAGTAATTTTTGATACGCAGATTGTAACAGTTTCTATAGTTGAATGTACTCATTCCAAGAGAAAATAATAAAGAGCAAATTGCAAAAAAGCTACTATAAAAGCAGAATCTCCTCACCTACGCCCTCATAGACATAGCCCACCTATCACGTGTCAGGTTAATGTATTTGGACTCTCTTTGGTAGATATGCAAAAGAATGATTTCAGATCTACAGCCTACGTCAAACTTATAATCCAAAACTTCCCTAGACTTCAGGAACTGTTTACACTTCTATGTAACAAATAAAATTCAATTGATTCTATACCATTTCCACTTCGGAGAGATAAAAAATAATGAAGTTGCCTTAAACATGAAAAGGAGACCCTGAAATAAAAAAGGAAACCAAGATCTCCAACAAAATTTAGTTCATGTTGTAGTATGATGAGGCCAAGCCTTCAAGACCGCCTATTCGCCAAAATTCTCGAACTAATTGACGTACACTCAGATTGTGAAAGCAAAGAGAAAAAGAAAAGGCCCCAAAAATGCATTAGGTATTTGGGAAGCTACAAAGTTAGTAACCCCAAGAAAGGAAACAAAAACTAAAAATAAGTGAAAAATAGGTGAAACTTACCTCTTCTCTCTCTAGGTATTGATCTTCTGATAGAAAATCTACAGCTTCTGAACCCAGAAAACAGTTGGTGAACCTGCGCATTTTATAGAACCTATCCTTAACAGAAACAGATCCTTTCATTTTTCGAACAATAAGAGCTAGCTCATCAATAGCTCCACTACTCGACAGGTCATCTTCACCAGATAGTGGTGGTAGAGGAGCTTCAAATGATGGTGTTTCAGTAACAACATACTCAATCTTCTCTCCAAGCTTACCGGATTCCTCCAAGCTCTTCAGCTCGGCCAACCCACCAATAAGTACTTCATTAAAGAACACTCTAGGAACAGCATAAGATCCAGCAATCTTCTCTAGCTCTTGCTTTCTGCTAGGATACACATCAATATTGATCTCAACATATCTGAGTCTTTTCCCATGCAGAAATCTTCGTGTCTCTTTGCAATCCTGGCACCCTAACTTTGTATACAACACAATTCGTCCTTTCATGGCAATCGGTTGTATTAAGTCCTCTATAGAATGATCCTGTACTGACTTGTTTTCACCCCAAGCGTCACGTGAAATCCCAATACGGCTAAGAGGGTTCCATCTAGAACTCTCTGCAGATTTCTTAGAGACTTCTTGTGCTTCAGTTTCTGGCGAAGTATTTTTACTCATGTTACCATCAGTGTCCTTGTCGTGATTTTTATCTTCATCATGAACATCCTGTCCAGTATCACTTTTCCCAGAAAGGCGGCGCACAAAAGAGGAGACTGCAACTGCGCTCTTTTCCTTTAGAAAATTTGTAAGAGCAGCTGCCTTCTCAGGCCAAGCAGGTCCCTGCCCCTCCAATTCATGATCCACGGATCTCAAAGACAAACTTCTATTAGCTTCCATTCCAGGGATTTCAGTCCCATCAAAGACAGGTTCCTCTTCCCCTCCGTAAACATTTTCCTCAAGATTCTTGTTAGTTTCTTTTGAATCTGCTTCATCATTCTCACCCTCCTTTGAGTCATCTATTCTCTTCTTACTCTCTGTTTCACCAATTTTTTCTCCAACTTCCAAAGATTTCATTTCATTTTGTGATTTAACTTGTTTTTCTTTCTGGATATCAAACGTCTCTCCCTCCAGCTTTTCAGCAGGTGGATTATTAAATTTACTTTCCTCGGAGGGGCTTTCTTTGTCCTGCTCATCTTTCCGAGTGTCCAGCATAACTACCTCTTCTTTGTCAGTCGGAGAACTCAACGCATGTTTCTCAAAAGTACTTGCATTTTCCAAGTCCTCTGTTTGTATATCCAGTTCCTTTTCCTCCCTCACTGTAGCAGCCAAATTATTCCCTGACTGCTCCATTTCCTTGCTCTCCTTTCCAAACTTAGACATAACACAGTTCCTTTGAGATCCTGAAGGGTCACAATGTTGTTCTTATCAGAGTTATCAACTTAAGAAATCCTGCAAATACAATCACAATCATTGATGAATACAACTTTGAAGGCGATAACCGAATTTCTCTGAAACAATTTCACAAAAACACTGCCTACATCAAGAATTCACCAAAAGCTTAAATCAAACTTCTGTATGCTAAAGTATCATTTCGTTTATCTAATTCTTTCATTTTCCAAATTAACAGGCGTGACATTTCTTTCTTTCTCAATTTCCTTCTACAATGTGTACTTGGTGTGAACGAGGAGATATCATTGAAACAGCTCATACCTTTTGCAACCGGAAAGAATTTTTAAATTTTCAAGAATTAGAGATGAACATTTCAACATGCAAGAAAGTCTGATGATTTTTGTTATCAATTAATTTCCAGTCTGATGATTTGTGTATAAAACTCATTACATCAATTCATTCTCCAAATAATTAAGTTATTATGATGACTCCATAATGGAAGAAAGTAAACAGGACAGGACATAGTGCTCTCTTGACCATACGTGGAAATGTGGAATCCCAGATATAAAGGCTAACTATTATTAATCTGTCACACTTTCAAAAAACCATAAATAGATGCATTCAGTAAGTGAAATTTTCTTTCAATTTGAGGGCCTTTAAACGATGTTATTAATTAAACTAATAGTTAAAATTGCAAAATTCTACCACATCTCTTTCCCCCACCCCCACAGAGAGGGAAAAAAAATGAAAAAACACACTGGCTTATACTAGTACCATTGCCAAAATGAACTCTATATTGAACCTACATGACGCCTTAATTGAATGGTAATTATGAAGAAAAACACCATAACTATGAAAATAAAGAAGGGGTTATAAGCTATAGAACAGCCCATTAAGGGCCACATCTGGATAAAGGATAAATCGGTACAACTATCGAAAGAACAACAACAGAAGCCCAATTTTTTAACCCCCTTCCCCCCTCACCCCAACCAAAAAATGAAAAGAAAGAAAAGAGAAACAAGCAATTCAGCAATAGGCTCAATTAGTATAGATTATCAAACATGATAAAATCTCCATATTAAATTTTTGAAAGGGCATCCAAAAAATCCACATCAAATGCAACAGCTAAACATCTTATCATAAGAATTAAGCACAGTAAAGGATTCAATGAAGAAAAAATCCAGACTTGCCATACACGCAGGTTAATCAGTTCTTAAAATAAATTTAGTGATAAAAGGAATGAAAAATCAAAATGGGTTTTATCTAATAAAACATAATATCAGAAATTTAAATGTGACGTAAAATGAGAAATGAAAGACTTACAGATCCGAGGTAGCTTGATTTGATTTAGGAGAAACGAAAAGATTATATATTTCAAAGGAAGAAATCTTCAGAAAAGGAAACGGATGATAATTTATTGAATAAATTCGTTTGAAGAAAAATGAAGACTTTGAATTGAAACCGTCGTTTGAGATTTTAGGTCTCTTATTTGACAAATAGAAGCAATTTTGAGAAAAATGGGGCCACTTGCGATGGAAGCGGGAAGTTCTGTCAAGGCATAGTTATTTTGCAAATTAGTCCTTTTTCATCTTTGATTTTTCAGTTTGACCCTCCATTAAGAGAAAATACAATTACTGAAATTATTAATTTACTGGCGTGTGATTTTTAGAATTGATTGTAGAGATAGAGTGATCGTTGATACCCTTCAAACGTATTGGATTATCGAAGTACATGTTATTGAGGTACTACGAGTTTCAATCATTCTTCATCACAACTTCATATTTAACTATTTGGGTGACAAAAAGTAGCTCTACTGCTAGTACGTGGATTTGAAAGGACCTAATTTTGTTTAATCTATTATTGACTATATATCAATGTTCTGAAAATCGAAGCGACCTGATCGATTCAATCGAAAAAACAGTGAATTGGTAAGCAATTAATTTGATTGTGGTTGGGTATCCCCTAATACAAAAACCAGTAAAATTTCGGTAAAATGATCTATTCGATCGGAAACCGATGAACAGAACACGATTTTAATGAGTTTCGACTGCCTTGCAAAAGAAAAAGAAGCATAGATGAAGATCTAAAATGAAGCTTTCTTGACTTGTCAAATTGTGTGGAAGACCCTCCATCAATTCATATGCACATGTATATGCTATAGAAGTTGACAAAAAAAAAAAAGCTGTTGGAGAAAAGGTGAAACATTGTGCCTAGCCGCTGGAGAAAAAGTGAAACGTTGTGCCTCTCCTGCTGGTTTCTGATTCTTGAGTTTGCTTTCTAGGTTCACAACCTTTTGGACCTTTCTTCCCATTTATGTAGGATGTTAAATTGTGACCATAAATACAGAAGGTGTTTAAAATACACAATTTCAAAATTAAAAAAAAAATGTTTTAAATTTTCAAGAAATAGGTCACAATTAAATTTTATTAATTAAATATATACTAAAAATATTTTATTAATTAAGTATATTAATGTCACAATGTTGTACAGTTTATGATCACAATTACGTATTAGTCACAATCACATATTACAAATTTTATAGGTCGCTTTATATTTATCGAACACAAATTATCAAACTAATTAGTCACAAATCACAAATTTTATATTCACACTTTATTTATTGGGTCACAAATCATCAATTAATAGGTCACACATCGTTTCTAGATCACAAATCACAAATTTTATAGGTCACAATTAATTGGTCACAAATTATTAAATTAATTGATCCCAACTTAAAAATTTAGTCGCAATTTCACATTTTTTAGTCGCATATTATTTATTGATCACAATTTATCTATTTTGTCGGTCATATATTATTTATTGATTGCAAATTTACGATTTTATTAGTTAAAATTATTTATATAATTGGTCACAAATACTCTTCATCACACACGATGACTGTTTCGAGCTGTGCATTGAAGAGGTGATTTGATACTTGCACCAATCTTTGGTATTTCTTTGATCTCCCTTCCCTTGTTCTGATTTGGTGGCGCACTACATCAGTTGAATCTGTCAAGATCAATACTGATAGATGCATCAAGGATGATATTGCAAACGGGGGAGGCATCATCAGTAATCATGCAAGATACTGTATCAGGGCTTTTCAGTTTCGTATAGACCGTACATGATATTAAAGGCAGAGCTCAGGGCTATTCTTGATAGAATTTTACTAGCTAGATGACTCGATCATTCAGACATTTGGATTGAGTTAGATTCTACAGTGGCTATTAACTGCTTTACTAGAGGAAGATGACCATGGCCTATTTAGGGCATATTCAGAATAACCACATCATCTTATCATTCGACAGAGACACAGTTTCTCACATTTACAAAGACGAGAATTAGGTTTCAGATGCTCTTGCAACATATGGTTGCTATCATTGACGATATCAGATATATGGAGTAACTGATCTGCCACGGCATATTAGAGCACTCGTACAGATTGATAGACATAGACTGTCCAACATTAGAGTATGATTTTTTTTTTTTTTTTTTTTTTGTGTGTTTACTTAGAATCCGTTTGATTGCAAATGTGAAAAATGGGTGGAAAGAAAATGTTTTATTGGGAATTGAATTGTTTATAATTTGTTTTACTGTTAATTGTAATTAATTGTGTTTGATTGATATAATTTTTCACCTGGTCCGTTTGACTTTGTTTTTCACGAATATTGTCATTTAACGAGATAAAATTTCTTACAATTGCGGATAGAATTTGTTTAGATTGCCAATTTTTTTTAAAAAAAATTTAAAAATAAAAATTGAAACAAATTGGGTGTTCATTTGGCTTTGTTTTACTTGGAAATAGTCAATTTGAGGGATAAATTTTTTTTACAATTTTGGATAGATTTACCTAAAAGGTGGGAAAACAAATTCGTCCAAAACCAGGAAAATTAGTCACGTGCACTAAAAGCAAGAAAACCAATTCCATGTAAAAAAAAAATGCTATCAAACAACCTAAAAGTGGCAATTGGAAATTGAATTCCATTTTCCATGGAAAATGGAGGTCTATCAAACAGGCCATTACAATTCTTATTGTAGAGAAGTAATACTTCTTTTTTTATAACTTTACATTTATTTCTTATCATTTATTTTCTTTGTAAGGAAAGAAATACTTCATCATTTGTTATTTTCATTATTTCTTCATGTAACCATTGTAATCCTCCGTCACACTCCTTTAACTAAAAAAAACTCTTTATTGCACCTCCACTCCAGCCCACTCCACTCGCCCACCTCACCACCACCACTACCGCCACCACTGCCATTTGTGACCACCACCTCACCGCTACCATCATTGCTTGTGTTGCCATCACCATATCACCACCATCGCCATCGCCATCGCCATCGCCACTAACTTACCATCTCCATCGCCACCAATACCACCAACACACACATTGTCCTTGCATCCCACCAAACATTCGCTAGTTCCAACAACCACCACCTCCACTGGCAACTCCAACCAACCACAATTATACCACTACCGCCTATGCCAACAACCATCACCAACGCTTGCTAAAATCCACCATATCTTCCATCTCTACAACACCACAACCACTACCTCCACCAACAAAATTCCGAAACCTGCCATTGCTATATGCGCTTTCAATACACCACAAATCAATCCCCGAAGGGCCACTACAAATCTGAAAAAGAGAAAGAAATGAGAAAATGTCATTTTTGCAACTCCTAGAGAAGGAGATCAACATTGCACTAAACAACAGCGCTGCTTTGGAGAAGGTAATAGCTGCTGCAGCAATACCTAGAGAAGGTGATCGCAGCGGTGCTCATCGTCCCTGCGAGTGATGATTGATCCATCGACTCCACTGTTTTGTGCATCGAATTGCTGGGTTTTGCGTGTGTAAGAGTGAGAGAGGGTGGTGGTTGGGTAGGTATGTTGAATTGGATGAGATTTTTAGGGTTTGGGGTTTGTATGATTATTAGTTGAGGGATTGATATATAATCATATATGTTTTTAAATTAAAAATAGTAATTATAACCTGATTTTTGAAAAAAAAATATTTATAACTTGATTTTTGAGATTGAATATTTAAATGTAGGTGTGGGTGTAATTTCCACTTTTAAGAATAATTAGATCCTCCATTGTAATCATATCCCCAGAAATGAAGTATCATAATTTTGAAAATAAGTATATTTTCACTACAAATTTTGTTTCTTTTACCACTTTATGTACACATTAGTTAAAAAATAAAATACACCATATTCATTTTACAAAGATAGCCCCAGTCCATTAAAAAATTTCACTTTCTCTCCATCCCTCTCTCTCGAACACATTTACATTTTCTCTCACTACATTATATCTTCAACTCCATCAATTGAGTTCATTTAAACCTATAAAGGAAGAGTGATGATATTCATGATCATTGATGTTAAGCACTAGTCTAGTTGGCAATTACATGCATTACTTTATATATTAATCTAAATATAAAGTTATATAAATCATTTAATTGAATTTATAAAGTGTAGCCACTTAAATTGATTTTCTAGTACCACCGGTCCCTAATAGCATTATTCATAAGCCACTTAAATTGATTTTCTAGTACCACCGGTCCCTAATAGCATTATTCATAATGGAAAAAAAAAGAGAGAGAGGAGAGAGAAAAAATAAAAGCAATAAATAATGGTGATTTTTGTGATGGGGTGGCTTGATGGTGGTGGTGTTAGTGATAGTGATAGTGAGATGGAATGGTAGCGACGATGGTGAAAATATGTGACGGTGACACTGGTTTTAGTCGCTCTAAGGGTGGAAACTGGCTTTCGGCCTTCGTGCGGTGGTCCTTAATGACCTTTTTAGTTGTTGTTAGGTTTGTTGTTGCTTTTCTTGTATCCTTAAGAGTAGTTTGCTGTTAGTTTTGGTGGTGGTGGGATTAGAGGCGTAGGAGAAGATGTGATGGAATGGAATGAGGTAGTAGGTGATTCGAGTGGTTGCGCCATTAGAGAAGGTGGAGGCTGAAGATGGTGGTAATGGTGTTGATATGTTATATTTTCAAAAAAAAATTACACTCTATAACAGTAATGACAGATAGGATAAATTACAATTTCAGAAATTACGTACACGACAATATAATTTTAATATAGATTAACATAGAGGGTAGGTTACAATTATCGAAACTTACAATTTAAAAAATTACATATACGTTGAAAAATTATAGAAAAGTAAAATACAAAAAAATTAATTTTTCAATTTAGTCCCAAATGTGTGTAATGAGAAAGAAGCCCATTGCAAATTGATTGTTTGCAGTGGGCTGGCCAACCCAACGGATATACAAAGAATGTTGTTTCGGGTCGTGGTTTGGCTTCACATAACTAAAGTAGTCATAAAGAGGCGACTAAGACTATCCAAATTAAAGAAAGAGGAAATTACACCTACACCTGAAATTAAATTTTCAATTTCAAAATTAAGGTCACAAATCTAACATTTCAAAAATCAGATTTTTTTATATCTAATTAAATAATAATTAATTAATTATTAAATTTCATCCAAATTAATAATTTAATCCCAAAATCAAACCTAATTTCATGATTCATCCCGTCTCAATCTTCTCTCATCCCCGTTGCTCTCTTTTCCCTCTCAGCCGCGATGGCCGTTGGCCTTCTTCCCCCCTCTCCCTCTCTCGTCTTCACCTTTCTTCTCTCTCTCTGCCATTTTTCCTCCTGCGACTCTGGCGCTCGAAGATCCGGACGGTAGGACGGTGTCGCTCGAAGATCCAGGTATTTCCCTAGGGTTTCGCAGATTCGTTTCTCTCTCTCTACCCTCAGTCCCTCACCGTTTTCTCTGTCTCTGGCCTCATCNTGTTGGTGGTTTGGGTGGCTTGTGTGCGGCGGTGGTGATCGTGCGGTTTGGGTGGCGGTGGTTGCGTTTCTGTGCGATGGGTGCGTTTCTATGTGATTGTTGTGTTGCTGTGCGATCGTTGGGTGTGAGCGCGTGCGGCGGAGGTGGTCGTGCTCGCGACGGTGGTGGAGATGAGGTGACGGTGGTGGTGCCACTGTTAGAGGCAGTGGTGAAGTGATGGTCACGATTGATTTGATTGTTTGTGACCAATAATTTGATTGGTTTGTGACCAGTGAATTAGATAAAAAAATGTGACCAATAAATGCCGTGACCTAAAAATTATTAATCTGTGACCAATTATGGTGGTCACAAATAATTTGATTGTTTGTGAACACTAATTATTAATTGTGACCAAAAAATTATTAACTGTGACCTAAAAACTATTACTTTGTGACCAATAAATTGATAAATTGAAACCTAAATAAGTATTGTGACTTATAAATTTTGGGATCTGTGATCGATGAACAAATTGTGACTTTCAGATTTCTAAATTGTGACCAATAAACAAATTGTGACATATAAAAATTTTGAATTGTGACGTAAAAAATTTTGAATTGTGACCAAATTGTATAGATCTGCGACCTTAACAAATTCGCCGAAATCGGATTAGTCGTCAAAAAAGTGGCCGGAATAGCATCGGAGTTGTAGGGGTGGTGGAGGTGTGGGTGAGTTAATTATTTTATAGTAGAATTAAATATTAATAATAAGTTAATTTAATAATTATTATTTCATAAATAAAAATTTAAAGAAACCTGATTTTTGAAATTTAAAACATGTTTTGATATTTTTAAAATTGATAAAAATAAATATCTTATTTGTGTATTCTTCCCTTAATGAAACAACACTCACTTTTAGTCCAAGTTTCATTGATTGTCCATAGAATTAAGGATTTCTTTTTAATTATTTTTACGTAGAAAATAAATAAAATTATATCAATACTACCCTTTAATTCGTCCATGAATTCTTCAAACTTTGAAAAGTCAACATCGTATGGCTATTGAAAATCAACCATGCATTTCAACAAATGATCAATGTGCAGAATAGCATTAGTGAAAGCTGAAATAGGTCAAAACTAGAGTTGTCAAGTTCGATGTGGTCCGATCTTATTGGAAATGAATTTTGCTACACTTACAAGGGGAAATAGTTTGGGTGGATTTTTTGTTTTCATTTTTTATTTAGGTAGCCCCACACATGTGAGGGGTGTAAAATTTCTGTGAAAAATTCTTCTGTACATTTGGAATAATCCCTTAGAAATTGCTACGAAAAGGTTAACCTCGACTATTAATATTTTAAGATGAAACTTCAAATTTCATTAATTTTACGATTATAATCCGGGGCGCTTGTTTTTGAATAGCACACGTGGAATGTTCGTTTTTGGCTATAAAGTAGTAATAATAAAATAAAAAAAAGGCAAGGTCGGGTGTAGGTGAAACAAGGTTTAATAAATCACGTTGGCTTAAGAGATCAATTTGGAGCTAAGAGTAGGTGACAAAAATAAATACCTTATTTTTAATGATTATTTATTAATATTTTGGCTGCTAAAACTTGATGATTAATGGATTAAGATGTTCACGTCATGTATAAATCAACTCCATTTGGTTGCTATTACATATTTAGCAACTGAATTTGACTCGTCTATATGAATTATTTATTAATACAAATCTCATCATCAAGTGGGTCGGTGGGTTCATAATCCATAATTAGCCCGTTTGACGGAAATTATTTGAAAAAAATATTGTTTTCTGAATAGTGAATTTTTGGAGAACGTGTGACTAAAAAGTCAGAAATTTTTTGAATTTACGTGCAGAATATTTTATTATGTGAATATGTAGTTTAAAATGAGTACGTAGAAATAAGAATTTTGAAATAATGGTTAACAAACAGCCAAACAGGGCTTTAATTGATAGGATAGGAAGACAAAAATCAAGCCTGCCAGCGCTACCACAACCTAAAATCTTAAACCAAACATAAAACCCAAAAATGACAAACGGAAGACGTTGTTTCCAAGAATCAGAAGATTAAACCTCTATATATATTGTACCTACTATTATTTGGCCATTAATTCTTCTTTCGTAATAAGCTCCTCGAAGCAAAAAAAAAAATTAAAAAATGGGAGCTTTAACAAAATTCTTCTCATACCCTCATAAAATGGTTGATTCATTTTTGCTTACTGTGCTTCCTGAAATAATCCGGTTGATCGTATTAGCTGTTTTCGTGTTATGGAAATTTTACAGGTTTGTAAGATCGAATTACAGGTACATGGCTATGATCAACAAGAAGAGCTCAAAATTTATTTACAGAAAAAATCCGAATTCGGAGATCCCAGAATGTGCTATCTGCTTGTCTGATTTCGTGGAAAGTGACAAGGGGAGAAAGCTGGAATGTGAACATATGTTCCATAGACATTGTGTGGAGAAATGGCTTCAAGAATACAAGGGTACGTGCCCGCTCTGTAGGAGTTCGATCGTGTCTGAGGAGATTTTGGCAGAATATCGTCGAGTAAAAAATGAGCAAAACGATAATATCTTTGAGAAGGAGCTGGCTCTTTTACTGTTATCGGTTATGCAAGGAGGGAGCTGCAATGGGTTTTGACGAAAAAGGATTGAGCGGCCGGAGTTAATTATACCGTAAACTTATCCTCTCGACTGCAGATCGACCAAGTACACATATTTTCGTTGTATTTTTTTTTTTTTTAGAAATATGATTAAAATTGATTCACCAGCAAGTAGGCCTTTCAAGAAATTAGAATACAATTCTGTAATTGTTTTGCTTCCAAGTACTCTTAATAGATGCTTGAGGAGAAATTTACTTGGAAATTAGTTATACCATTTACAGCAGATTTCATTTCTTTACTCACATTCAGAGAGAGAGAGAGAGAAATCTCTCGGCCAATTAGGACATTAACTGATTGGTTCGGATAGCTTAAAAAGTCGTTAAAACGTTTGAAATCAAAATCGACTACTAATTTTAACGACACAGTCAATAGGATCCACAATCTATATCAACTTTTAAACCACATATTTCATCGACCTTTTTTTTAACTGAAGCAAATTTTGATATTCTTGGACTGTAAGATTCATTTCCCATAGCTTGATTGCAATTGATTGCAACTTTAACTGTTTTTTTCTTCATCTTATGCAATAGCGTGTCCTACCAGTACATTATGTCCTCCAGATTATGTACAAAGCTCGGAAATTTTTCGTCCTGGCACGTTCTGGGCGGTCTTCGTGGAAACCACTTAAAATTTGGACCAGCCTCCATTTTAGACATCATATTTTCTTTTCCATTGGTCCCAAATTACAAGTCATTTTCTTTACTGAGAGTACAATTAGGGGCGGAGCCAGCCGTTTGAAATTGGGGGATCTCATAATCGAAAATATAGAGATGAAGGGAGGGGGGCCATGGGGGGTTCGCTGACCCCGAATTTTTTTTTTTTTTTTGGGTTGATTATTAACAAAAAAAATCAAAAAAACATATAAAAGAAAGTACCAATATTTAATTTAGCAAAATCATACCTTATTACAGGTGTTCCTTTCAACTTCATACTTTGAAAATGGAAACAAAAAATGAAATTGGTAGGGTTTAAGATTTTTCTTCAATTTGAGGACAAAATGGTAATGATAAATACAAAAAGAACAAAAAAAAAAATGTAAATAAAAAAAGAATTTGTCAAATCGAAGTAAATCTATTTTTATGGGACGAATTGTGTAAAAATTATTGTTTTATTAATAAATAAAAGAAACCCGTAAAAATTCCCTTATCGTAGGGGGTTCACAACATATCCTATTAGAGCGAATTGTATTCAAATCTTCCAGCCGTTGTGAACAATGAACAACTCAGTAATCTCGAAATAAAGTTAGACCGAATTGATACAATCAAACCAAAGATTCTGTACATCTAGAGCCACGACACTTATGACAAGTTTCATAAAAAGGTCTAAACTTAGCATTGTATAGAAAAAGAAATTAAAATGTTGTTCGTTATACTGTTAAGTCAAACTATGCGTACCAAAACATGGACTTTATGTAGAAGAAAATGTCTATAAATTCTCTAAGTCTTCAGTTTATATTTTTTCTCAAGTTAAGGAAAATGAATGATGGTAAAGGGTAGTTGATTCAAAGAAAACATACGCAAAGTTGGGTTTTTTGTTACATCAAATTCTGAAAAAGTAATTATACTTTTTGTTCTGTAGTTGGTTGTTGTTTGTTCAACTGCCCACACTTTGTTTTATTTCAGGTACATTGATGAAATCGTAAAATTATATTTAGGGGCGGAGCCAGGGGACAATTTTTTTTTTTATACTGGACTGGTACATTAAAAAAAAATCCATTATAAAGATAAAAGCATTTTCAATAATAATAAAAAAAAAAAAAAAATCCCTTCGAAAACAAATTGGGTCTACCCTCTTCATATTCATAAGTTTATGATATAGTGCTTGATGAAATTATGATACACACTCCATGATAAGCTATATACGTGTTCAAAACGTGTTAGAGAAGTGTCATTCCAAAACTAACATCTTAAATACGTATTTCAAAATTCTTCAAGAATTTAGGAGTTAGCTCAAAAAGAGTGTCTCTACACTAGAACAAGGACCCCACTCTTCATATGTTTCCAATAATTATTTCCACTAGGGAAGAATAATTTGCAATACCATTGCCCAGTCTCATGCATGATTTATGGTTTTCAATGTTTATTACATGACAATAACATAGTACATAGGTGCATGTGAAACTCAAACAATGGACCATGTCGTGAGGTGATAGCGGGACATCGAACAAGGACATTTCCTAGTACTATTTTGCTACTATTACATATTCCTTTTCACATTGTCTCACGTGTTTCAAATTTATGATAAATTTCTAGCTGAGCCAGCTTTTGGGACCTTTTAGGGTTATCTATATTGTTGTTCTTCTTGTTGTTAAATATTTTTCTTTTTATTTGAATTTATGTTACTATTTAACAAATTTTTGGCATATAGAAATCGGTGTTTTGAAAAGAGCGTGTCGGCGCAAGGCACGGGCAAAATGCTTTGTCTCGATAGTAATCGCGAATCAAGCAGTCAACTATTAAGTTTATCGCCTAATAAGCATCTAGGCGTGCTTAGGAGCGTTTTATTAATTTTTTTCATTTTTTAAAAGGGCTTTTATTTAATTTTAATTTCAAGTTTTTAAATGACTTTATTTGTACAAAAGTAAAAAATGACTTTATCGAATAAATATTTAAACAAGATTTAAGGTATGGTGCTATTTATACTATATAATTATGATTTTGAGACTTATCTTATTATTGAAAACTTCAAAAGTATGTATGAAATTCCTATAAATATGTTAAGTAAGACTTGTCTAGTTGAAAGTTAAAACTATAACTTTTACATTTTGTAAACTTGAAAATTGGGCCCATGTTTGGCTCCCATTAAAATTTAATTCATTTCTCTCTCTCCTCCTATTAATTATACATTTTCTAAATAAAATAATATTACACATAAATCTAAAAATTCTCCTTACTTTTTAACCATACATTCTTCAAAAAATACTACTCCAAAATCAATTTTTTTTCAAAATAATGGAGCTTAAACAAGGAATGTATAATTAATTAATTGTAGGAATTATTAAGTAACTATAGCTTTTTATAATTTAGATATTTGGTATGTATTATTTTTAATTATTAAATAACTTTTAGAATGAATAAGTATTTTAAATAACGTGCCTATCTTTTAAAAATTGAAGTTTGGCCTCCATGTCTAACCATATTTTACGTTTTTTAGAGCACTGATACAAAATCACGTAAAGTGGTAATAAATTTATTCATTTAAGTTTTATCTTAATACGAATCTTAAAATGTAGGTTCGAACTTCCAGCGAATTTCATCAGAAGTTTGGCCTCCATGTCGTTGAACAACTTTTTTTTTTGGACACTACTTTACCTTTTGCACATATTGATAATTTCGTCAATATCCTCAAGTATCATTAAATAAAACGTATATATAAGTAGATGATAAATAAAAATTTTGATGGTCATTATTTGAAAACCCTTTACTCTTTGTAATCATTTTCAATTATACTTTCATACAATAAAATATTTTACATGTAACTCGAGAATGTTTCTTTGCTCTGTAACCAAATATTCTTCTAAAAGTCACTATTCAAAATATTATTTTTCTCAAATAATGATCATCAAACATGAGCATAGTTGGAGCGATCAATTTGTAAAAAAAATAAAATTGAGTGTGACCACTGATTTATCGAATTACCAAATTATATACCAGGTCAGTTTGCTGATTCTATTACAGGAAAAAAAATGAGTATATAATCAACTTTCATGTGATGTTTTGTAAAATGCTGCACATTTTTTGAAAAAAAAAAAGTGATGCATTTTCAATAAAATACGGCGATGATACGAATTAATTTTGTGTGGCCAATATGAGTGAGTGTGACAGAAATGGACGGAAAGATAGCAAACGTAGTCACTAAGAGTTGTACGATACCAGTCACCAATTTGATTTCGACTTTCTCAATACAACACGAGACCTTAAAATTTTGCTCCAAATTATTACTTATCCGTCTCATAAAGATAAACTTATTTTCATTTTCACATCGATTAAAAAAATGTAATTAATATAGTTAAAAATATAATTTTTTTATATTTTTAATATATTCTTAAATTAAAATAATGGTTTAAATATGAATAATTCATATTTGTTAATAATAAGGCATATTAAATAGGGATATAACAGAAAATTAAGAAATCTACTATATTCTTGAGTCTCAATAAGAAAAATGATTTATAATTTGAGACAGATAAAAGAAAAATAAGTTTAGTTTTATGGAAGGGTCTGCAAATATTTTGGGTTGTTGAGCAATTATGACCTACTATTCTTTATGCAGGGGCGGACGCAAAACTTTAATGTTGGGAGGGCACAATCAAACTT